AACTGTGAGGCATACTTGGATGACATTGTCATTTACTCCCCAACATGGTCAGAACATCTGGAAACGCTCTCTGAGGTGTTCAGACGTTTTTGTGAATCTTCTCTTACATTAAACCTCTCTAAGTGTGAGTTTGGTAAAGCCACCATTACTTATTTGGGGAAACAGGTCAGACAAGGGCAAGTGCGCCCTGTTGCTGCGAAAGTACAGGCCATTGTTAATTTTCCTGTCCCGCAGACAAAAAGAGCTCTGCGTCGTTTTTTTAGGAATGGCCGGTTTTTATCGAGGGTTTTGCAGAAATTGTTCTGATGTGGTTAGTCCCCTAACTGATCTTGTTAGCCCCTTAAAGCCTTTTATTTGGTCTCCAGCGTGTCAGGTGGCATTCGAGTCTGCCAAAGCCTTGTTCTGCAGTGCACCAGTGCTAGCTGCGCCGATTTTTGAGCACCCTTTTAAACTAGAAGTTGATGCCAGCTCGTGTGCCGCAGGCGCTGTTCTGTTACAGGAAGATGGTCATGGCGTATATCATCCCGTCTGCTACTTTTCGAAAAAGTTTAACAGACACCAGACCCATTATAGCACCATTGAAAAAGAGGTTCTTGCCTTACTCCTTGCGTTACAGCATTTTGAGGTCTATGTCGGGTCAAGTGTGCTGCCTGTGCAGGTGTTTACCGATCACAACCCACTAGTGTTTCTTTCCCAAATGCGCAACTTCAATCAAAGACTTATGCGCTGGTCCTTGTTATTGCAAGATTTTAACTTGGTGATCAATTACAAGAAAGGGAAAGAGAACATGTTGGCTGATACCCTGTCTAGAGCACTTTCACCTTGAATTAAACATTTTGGGGGTAATGTTAATTCTTGGGAAAGGGGGTGTTACGTACGGAAGCGTAGAGCTGCCACCCAGGCAAAAGAAAAATACAAGTGTATCACGTTATAACGTGAAAGGTTTATTGTTCTAACAAGGTACTTTTCCTGTTTGTACAATATACTATCATGTTTGTACAATATACTTTTCACGTTTGAACAACATAATATCACGTTATTACAATATACATAATTATCACGTTCGTATAATATAATATTGTACGAACGTGATCCTATATTGTACGAATGTGATAATTATGTATATTGTAATAACGTGATATTATGTTGTTCAAACATGATAGTATATTGTACAAACATGATAGTATATTGTACAAACAGGAAAAGTATCTTGTTAGAACAATAAACCTTTCACGTTATAACGTGATACACTTGTATTTTTCTTTTGCCTGGGTGGCAGCTCTACGCTTCCGTAGTTACGACTGATCGTAATCATATGTAAATTTGAGTGTCCAGGTGCTCCTCTGGGATTGGTGCATCCAGGGTGGATGGCTCACACCGATTGGCTGAGGACCGGGAGGCAGCAGATATGAAGAGACCGCCGGCGACTGCCACTTCATTCATCCTCAGCCCAACCCAACTGGCAGACCGTTCACTGTGTCACGATGTTACCATGTTGGTTAATGTAAGAGCATGTAGGAGTGGACCGCCTTTTTGTTTGATCAGTTTTCTCCTGTTTTTGTTAGGCAGGGAGGAAAGTGATTGTCGTTTGGTTTAGTTCCTTTGAGTAGGTAAGTTGTGTTTATTCCTGAGATAGCCTACCTTTTGTTTGTTGTTTTGGCCTTGGGTTCACCCTGAAGTTATGATATGCTCCCTTCCTTTGTTTAACTGCACTTATTGTAAATAAATCACTGTCACAAAATATTAAGTGTGTGACGTGCTGCTTGGGGTTGGACGGGGATGGATCACCCTTTATGTTGTGGTCTGGCCGTGCCTAGACGGGCCATAACACCCCCTCTTCAGCCTGTGAAAGTTTGTGGGATGGACATAGAGATGGTAACAAAATTCAAATATCTAGAAAACACCTAGATAACAATCTAAATGCGTCCCTGAATACCAACCTATACAAAAAGTGGCAAAGTTACCTCTTTTTGTTAAGAAAACTAAAATCTCTTGATCTGCAGTAAAATATTAAAGATGTTCTATCAGTCTATGGTGGCAATTGTCCTGTTCTATGCTGCAGTCTACTGGGGAGGCAGCATGAGTAACAAGGATGCAAGGAGACTGGACAAACTAGTGAGAAAAGCTGGCTTTGTAATTGGTGCCAGACTGGACATGCTGGGGAAAGATGCACATTAAAGACATTAGAAGCCATCCTGAATAACGCTGATCACCCACTTTATAAAATCTTTATGGAACAAAAGCCATCAGTACTGGAAGACTCCTCTCTCTCTGTTGTAAAACAGAGTGATATAGGAAATCAAATACACCCACAGCTATCAGGCTTTTCTCATACAAATAGCAGATGAACAATTTCAGACAGGAGTTTTTCTATTTCTTAAATAAAGCTTAGAACAGACACCAAGGGTGTGTTCCAATAGCCCGATTTACTTAGTAAGGTTTCTAAACTTAATAGGTCTTCCAATTCTCCAAATACTAACAGAAAGAGCTTCAATGATTTCTTTTTGCTTCCTTTAGCATAGGATACACTGGAACATCCTTATGAAAGGGGAGGTGAAAACGATGATATAATGATATAACCCTGATATAGACCTGCTTATATATTTCAAGTTTTAAACAACAGCCTGTTAAATTCACAGCTGAACTTTGAACCTCACACTTGCTTTCCATGAAGAATGCAGAATCCTGTATAAGCCCAAGATTATGATGTATAAGTGATAAAAGCTGCACTTAAGCTTCTGTATTATCATTGTTCATTACTAATGTTCCTTTTCTGAATTGCAGTATTTATATATTTTTTTCTTTGGTACGAGTAAGCTGGGATAAGTGATAGACAGAGGGAATTTCACAGAAATACCAAACAGAAGGGAGGAAATGAGCTGCCCTGGATCACAGCAGGTAAATGTAAGAAAACAAGATGTATTTAATCTTATATTCTGCCAGCCCTAAAAATAAAAGACTGTACAGATGTTGAGTCAATATTCTGCTTAGATAAACGGAATTTTTTGCTTTCATGCAAGATTGAGGACATGTGCAAGACACATTATTACATTTACATGTTTTTAATGAAAACATTCTTTTTTATTTTTATTTTTTATATTGATTGGTACCTTACACTAAGGACAAATACAAAATATATGTTATCTTGGAAGTAAATTTAAATTCTAATCTGTAAAATGGCATAGAAGTATTTTTACTGCTTCAACATTTTTATTTATAATATTAAGTATCGGAAATTTTCAGAAAATAACTGAAATAATAATTTTTCAAACAAACTAAACAACCAAACAACTGTCTTTGTCCTGAGATCTAGTTTAGGACTTGTTCTAGAAACATCTTTACAACAAAGAAATATTCCACACGAAAACAAATTTCTTACTTTTTCTTTGTGTGTTATATCCGAACTAATTATGTCATTTACGGGGGGGGGAATGCTTCATTTTCTGAAGCTAATGCATTACGCTTCCGTACCTTTTTTGGTTTTCGGGGGACAGAATTACAATACGCACACACTTCCTGGTGGAGCTCCCCCTCTCCCCTGCGAAGAATCAAAATACATTCCTAGCAAGCCAGCTACACAAGTTGTCAAAAAGTTATGCTTGTTTGTCAAGTGGATAGACAAAACAGTTTTTATAAAAATGGACGTTATTCCAGGTTTTTTTTTACATGAATAGTAGAAAATATCCCCATGTCCACATAACCGGCACTGGTGACAAGTCATCTACGAAGAGTTGGATTGTTGAAGCTAAGAAAGTCCTGGTAGCTAGCGTTACCAACCGGGCCAGCCAGCTAACGTAAGCTGCTATTTTAACAGGCCTCGAATTGCTTGTCTTTTTTAAGGTTGTGTTGTGACAGTGTCAGACTCTGGTGAGGAATGGTGTAGTCTTATTCTGTCGTCCCAGATCTTTAATTATGCAAAAAGCTAACTTTAAACACTTATTTTCTCCAGTAGTTTTTCGTAGCAGCTGCATAACTGAGCTAGTTATGCTATGCGGTTAGCCTTGACTGCATCAAGGGAACTGACAGTAGGTAGGCAAACGCCGATCCGTTTTCGGTGCTTGACAGCCGGCCAAAGAATGACAATTTGCCATTTTTGAAGGCTGTAACGTGTTTGTTTTATTGAGTAGCCATGTCTCCTTACGGCATCAGTCACAATTACGCAGTTACGTTAAAAAAAAAAATACGACTGCGTAATTGCAATTGATGTCTTGAAACCTATCTAAGTATCCTTGTGCTGATTTATTTATTATTTATTAATATTGAGCTTTTTACCTATGTGTTGTTTGCTCGTTTTCATAGTAAGTTACTAGCTGACCTAAGCTAGTAATGTCTCTATCGTTACCACCAGCGGAAATGCTTGAAACACCACCTGGGTATCCCTTTGAAGAAATCAATTATGAGGACATTGAAGTTGAGGAGGTAACTTGGGATTATTTTTGCTGTTTTTCGTGTCACTAGCGCATGACAACAGTTAGTGTCAGCTCGATGAAGCTCTTACCTAGTGAGTGTAACTTTGATGCTAACTACCTGTTCTCAGGTGGTGGGGAGAGGAGCTTTTGGGGTCGTCTGCAAAGCAAAATGGAAAGGAAAAGATGTTGCAATCAAGACTATTGAGAGTGAATCAGAGAGGAAAGCCTTTATTGTTGAGGTATTTTTTCGTTATTGAAATATTCTCAAGATTATTTCAACAGCCTGCCTGTGTGTAACCTTTCCTTTTCATCTCCAGCTCAGACAACTTTCACGTGTGAATCACCCCAACATTGTGAAACTGTATGGCTCTTGCAATAGTCCAGTAAGTTCACTAGGATAACAATGACTATTTGGTCTATTTGGTTGATTTTGAGTTTTTGATGGTGTTCTTTCCACTGCAGGTTTGCCTTGTGATGGAATATGCAGAAGGTGGATCATTATATAATGGTGAGTCAATATGTTTTAATAGAAAACACTATGGTTGTGTTACATGTTACACCATTTATTTTGCTTTGCTAGTAATGAACACTGCTTTAGACAGACACAGCCCTGTTGAGTTGATCCTCCAGTTGTTTGCATGTTCAGCCACTTTTCTGATTCGTTAGAAGTCCATGTTTGCACAGCGACATGCAGCCCTTACATGCACATACCTAAATATTCAGATAAACCTGGGAACTGGTGGGGTATAAAATTGATCAGTAATAAAATAATTTGTGTGCGTACAGTTAAGACAGTTAAATTAACATTTTCAGTAAGAATGAAAATTGAGTATTTGAACCTTCTGCAAATAAATTACATACATATATTTCTTACAGCCTCATTTTCAAATAAGTTAAAAGACTTATCCTATGTATATCTAGGCTTGTTGTTTCTTATGTTTACCATGAGTGCTTTTATAAGCAATTTGTTGTCATGTAGCAGCAGAGTCTGGGATTACTGGATGTCAGATAGGTGCAGGTTTATTTGAATTTTTCCGCCTAATGATGGCCTCCCTTTCTTGCGAAATCTCTTTCCCCCTAACTTTCAAACCATGAAAAGCAAATTCAACACTTCAGAAATGAAATATCATGAAATAAGAGGGGAGCAGCCCTCACCTGGCCAGTTGGGCCAGGTGAGGGCCAGTTTCCTGGCCAGGTGAGGGCTTTTCCTCTGCAAAAGGGGGACAAATTTAAATCTCTGACCTCAACTAAAAGGTCAAGGTCAGAGGTCAAGTTTTTGAAAATCTTGTGAATGTGATAACTCAAGAAGGAAGCCATTTTTTTGTTTTAAAAAAATTGAATTAAAGCTGTCTCCACTTCAGTCACAACTGTTTTATATATAATTCATTTTGGGTAGCATTCAGAGACAAAACGTCAAAAACTTGTGTCTTAAACATTATGGAGGGCACTATTAGTACTAATTTGTATCATGTTCATAAAATATTCTGTGCTCAGTTGTACTTAAAATTTGCCAGAATTGTTATGGGGCAAATTTCGCTGAATTTCAGTGAGTTTGGGGTTTTCCCCTTGTAGCTATCAGGTTTACTTGAATGAGGTTTTGGGACAAAGTAGTTTGCTGTTCTTAGTGGTTTGCTTATAATAAATTTTCATAAACTACATTTTTGGACATAGTTTTGTGGGACATTGCGGGCAGTGAAGCAAATATAACAAATGCTGAGAACTATCGAAAAGTCCTGTTGTTCTTGATGATATTGCGTGTGTTTGTACGCAAATGGAATTCCTGGTCTCTGACTTTGGCTGGCAATTGTTGTGATGATGGAAATATGCTTACACCAATGGCATCATGGTGGACATGATAGTGTAAAAATGACTGTGTGAAGATGAGTTTGAAATTAGTTTTGCGGAATAAATTTGGACAAAATGAAGTGTAAAGTGAGTTTTTCTAACAAGGCTGCAGATAGCTCAGTTTGTGTTGTGATTACATTTCATGGTGAAATATGCTGACACTTTGAAATCCAGTCATAAGATATTGTTGAAACAATGCTTTTGGATGTCTACAAATTTAGAGTTTGAACCTCAACCTCTTTTCCACTGCAAATGAGACTCTAGGCAGTTTAGTCTTACTACAGAGTCAGGTCACATGTATATGGTTGAATGAGAAAATACACATTATTTTATATCAGTTACTCAAAATTAATGTCATTAATATTATAATTTTTTCTTAAAAATATATATGCTGTTAGAGGGTCATTGTGGGTATTTAATGTGCATATATGTTTCTTCGTGTGCTTAGGCCTTGTATCTGTTAGCTGTTCGGGTGAACATTTTTGGTTGACAGAATGTTTATTAAGGGTCACCCTTTATTGATAATCAGTAATGATAATATCCCCAATGAGTTTGAAATTTTATGTTGACAAACACTCATTTTTATTTTTATTTTGATTGGTGAACTAATATACACTCCTGGGATGTCTTGTAATACTCGATTGAATTTCAAATTAACCTAGTAAGTTGTAAGATATTTCTCCAGCATTTTTAAACATGCTGCTGTCATTTAAATAAAAACATTAATATGAATTATATTTTTAAATATGATTGTATAATAATGATCATTATTTACAGGTATTCTGTTCCTCCTGGTGTCAAAAATACTAAATTATGTCTTAGAAGCTGTTAATGTAACACTCCTTGTGAAAATAACACCAGGCTGTTTCAAATTTATAACATAGGTGCATCTGCTGGGACACTGAGGGCTAGTAATAGCTTTTTGTCAGTACTCTTAAAGAAGCTATAGTGAAAATGCACATGGGTGTTTCAGTCCATATGACAGTGTCATAATTACTATAGGGACCCCACACTTTGCCTAGTTGGTTTGAAGGTATGCTGTCTGTGGTCGCTGTTTGAGACTGTGTTTTCTTGTCCACAGTACTGCATGGTGCTGAACCCCTCCCCTATTACACTGCTTCCCATGCTATGAGCTGGTGTTTACAGTGTTCCCAGGGTGTGGCCTATCTCCATGGCATGAAACCAAAGGCTCTCATTCACAGGGACCTCAAACCACCCAAGTATGCACCTTTTCACCTCACACACTCCTTTATGTTTCCAGCAAATTATTTCGTTAAAGTAGTTTGATTCAGTTTGTACTATATTGTGTTCTTGTTAAACTATCTGGTATCTTTTGAGAAACATGTAGAGGCAATTTTTTTTTTTTTTGGCATGGCATTGTAAGCCACTTAGTTGAAAGTTACTCAAGATATTAACTAGGGCTGCCACAAACGATTATTTTGATAGTCGACTTGTCACCAATTATTTTTGCGATTAGTCGACTAATCAGATCATGCATCCATTGGACGTAAAACGTACAGCTTATTGCACCAGCACGCATCTGCTCTTGTATAACTAACTCATTAGCTTACAGTTTGAAGTGTTTATGGTATGTGCTAACTAAAAATAAAGACAAGATGATAGTTTATTAAATTTTAATGAAATCTGCAGGTTGTTTCAGTGAAGTTTAAATAAACTCAGCCGCCTGCTCCTTGCTATCTAAAATATAACAAGACACCGGAGTATATTCTCGAGCATCTCATACTTCTGATAATCAGTTGTTTGCTTGACGTTTATTCAGCTGTGTAAAAACTATAACTTTATTTCTCAGCCAAACCGATTTACTCAGGAACAAATAAAATACTAAAAAAGCCAAACAATAACATTTTTAAGTTATCTAAGTGACTTATATATGTTTAACCTGAGTAGTGAAAGACGGCGGTGGGTTTGAAAACGATTTGCCGGGAGTCCGGTGTTCTCACAGGCTCTAATGAGCCTTGAACCCCGGCTAACTATCGAGCTGGTGAGACGTCTGTTACCCACTAGCTCGATAGCTAGTGGGTAACGCACGTCTCCGAAAACGTCAGAGCGCTTTTGAAAATATGTGGTGTCTTGATAAACTGAGCAGATATTTGAGGTTTACACAGCTACATTCTCACCTGAAAATATGTTAAACTTTATTTTGTGACCCAAAAAGAATAATAAGAGTAATATTAAAACTAACTAGCTGCCGCCATTGTTGACTACTGCACTGGGCCGCGCTATGAATTCTGGGGCACAGCTTCTTCTTCTTCGGGGTTTAACGGCAGCTGGCATCCTTGTACATGCAGTGCTGCCATCTTCTGTTTCAGTCCGTTATTACACTCTTAAATTCTACTACTTATTCCTGCGTCTTTTGTGATCTTACAAAGCTTCAAACGACGCGTCGAGTATTAAATCAGTCGTCGACGATTTTACTAGTCGACGTAATCGTGACTAGTTGACTAATTGTGGCAGCCCTAATATTAACAGACATTTATTGCGACCTATCAGGAATGCTGAGGTGTGTGGAAGTGTCACAGTAAAATGTGTGTTGTATTTTGTTTTTCTTATTTTATTATGGCTCTTTTTATTTACCTTTAGGATGCTAATGAAAGTTTGGAATTGTGACATGTTCAGAATATATCATTTTTCTTTCTCTCTCATGATACGAATCCTACTATCAGAGAATTTGATAAAATGCTGTATTTTTCAAAAAAGAAGAAGAAGAAGAAGAAGAAGAAGAAATTAGCAAGACAGTGTACTCCAACCCTTAAATAACTAGCCAAAACATTTTGGCCATAAATGAACGACATTTGGATGTGTCTGATACAGGCAAAATGGGAAGGTGTAAAGACATTATTTACTTCGATATACATTTTGTTTTGGGCTTATTCAGATTATATTCTCATTGATTATGGAAAGCTTAGATGGAAAAAATGGAAATGAAAAGCAGTGGTTGCAATTCAATCTGGCAGCTTCAGGATTCAGGGAATGGCATTACATGCCACCAATGTAAAATCCTGATCAAAGGAAGTGGTAAATACCATGAAGAAAACCTGTGTTATCAGCATATAGAGTTACTCGCATCTTCTTTATAACAGCTGGTTCAGACTAACACACCCTCTATAAATGCCAACTCTTGCAGGGCATCCACACAGGATGGAAATCTCATTATTATGTGAAGACTGTCTTTATTCTTATTGCATGGTCATTTCCTCTGTGGAAACCCTTTAAATGTGTTGCACTTAAAAAAAGAAAACGTGGAAATACAGAATAGTGGTAGATTTGATGTAATTGTTTACTGCTATATAGGATGCAGTAATTAATGCAATATGTTGTGATATCTGGATTATATTCCATTGTCTCAGAAGGACCAGAGGCAACACTTCCAGCATTAATTAAAAAAAAAAAAAAGCAAGAAAACTAACCTATTACTAATAAGTATCCTGTAGGAAGAGAGGATCAGCTTACCTGTTCTGTGTAGATCATTTGGAGAGTTTATAGAATTAATGAAGCCTCTTGTAGTCACAAATTGTCACCTATCCAATATTGTACAGGAATTTATTTCCTGCATTATTACTATAGAATTTCCTTTGTCTCAAACAGTCGTAAGAGCCGAGCACTGTCATTCCTCTAGTACTTTTTAAAAAGAAACATTTTAAACCAAACCGGGCTGAAGTTAGTTACAGTTAGTCCTATGTTGTTTAGTTCAAGGCACTTTTTTGCTGCTAACAGGATGTATGTCTTCCTTGTTTCAGTCTACTTCTGGTGGCAGGAGGCACTGTGCTGAAGATTTGTGACTTTGGAACAGCATGTGACATTCAGACACACATGACCAACAACAAAGGAAGTGCAGCATGGATGGCCCCAGAAGTATTTGAAGGCAAATATGAGTAGTATTACAGCTGTTTGAAATGTTTTCCTATTTTTTGGCCAAGAAAAACTGAGATGTGTTTTTCTAATTACCTCAGCCTCATCATCTTTGTCATGTTTCATCTAATTGGAGATGGGTCCTGCTATTATTATTATTATTATGATTATTATTATGATTATTATTATTATACTATAGATTACTTCCACCATACTCTTATTTATTGATAGTAGCTACCGAACCAGTGACAGTGAGATGATGAATGGAGTCATGCTGTACTGGCTTTTCTTCTGTAAACGCAGAATTTTTGTTCTTACACAACCAAGAGCCTAATGTAAGTCTACAATAAGAGACTGATTAGAGGATGTCACAGGGAAAGATGAATTACTCCTAGTCATTGCCTTGTTTTTGGATGCATGTTGCAAGACTCCAGTGCAATTAAACAACCCGCTTTTGCCCCCTCAGTGAACCCCTCACAACTAATTTGCATCAGTGTGGAATGTTATCAGAAAAACCCAGCGCAGCAAGTTTGAAATAGGTGTATGATGTGCACTTTAATTCTTCAATAACAGGCTCCATAATTAAGCAACACAGGAGCCGTTCCTTGGTGAAAATGGCTCCCTTATTTTCATCCTCCTCCCCACTGAAAGCAAGAGAAAAGCTGCTGCCTTTGTCAGGCACATTCCTCGCTCTCTTGTCAAATGTTCCGCAGAGAATTTCCTTTATCAGTCAGTGATGTCAGACTGAGCCTTTTCCCCTCTTTGAAAAGGACCTAATTGTTGCTGTGGGTTTCTTTCTACTCACAGGCAGCAATTACAGCGAGAAGTGTGATGTGTTCAGCTGGGGAATCATTCTTTGGGAGGTGATCACCCGCAGGAAGCCCTTCGATGAAATCGGAGGGCCAGCTTTTCGCATTATGTGGGCTGTGCACAATGGTGAGTCACTCTTCCTGTCTGACTGTGTGGGTCTGTGTGTTTGTTTGTCGTGGGTGATGCAGAGGTCACATCCAGCTGTCGGCCACTAAGAGTGCTCAGGCATGCATGCTAGACGATTGTCAAAATAAAGATGTTGGCAGAGGGGGTAAAAGACATGTTGACCTTTTCAGCTGTCCTTGCAGTTTATTGCATCCTGGATGCAGCACTACTGACTCAAAAAATGGGAGGCAGTAATATATAATATTTATTTCTTTTGTGTTGTGTGATGCAGATATGTCTTTCCCTGTAACTGCGTGTGACCAGTTATTTCTTTTTATTGTATTCAGGCACAAGACCACCTTTAATCAAGAATTTGCCCAAGCCCATTGAAAGCCTAATGACTCGCTGTTGGTCCAAAGACCCCTCTCAGCGGCCTTCCATGGAAGAGATAGTGAAGATCATGACTCATCTAATGAAGGTATTCTGCCTTGTGTACTTTTAGTAAATTGAAGTAAATGAATCAAAAAACTGCAGTCTCCGGGGGTCTCATCAGTTTGTTAAAATTAGGGATGTACACCTCTAGCTGACAGCAATGTTTAATCATTGCTGTCCTTGCTTGTCGGCACCAGAAAAAGTAGCTGGTCGAATATATTCTAAACATATTAGTTTATAAATGGCAGTTACCAGTCCAGAGATGTTATGACTAGGGATGGGTATCGTTTAGGTTTTATCCGATACCGGTGGCAAACCGGTACTTTTGAAACGGTGCCGGTGCTTAAAGAATGGAGAACACAAAATTGGTCCAAAAACCTCTCATGTTCAGCTGTTTTTTTGTAAAAAGATAACAATGTTAGCCTTTTCTGCAGCTATGGGGCATATATGGTATCACTCTTGGCTGGAAGCAGTGCTTAAACAATGGAAAAAACACAAACTTTGTCCAAAAACCTCTCATGTTTAACTGTTTTCCACTTTTTCTTTGGTCATTTTAGCCTTTTTGGCCAGGGTGAAGGGAGTATCTGCCATCAAACAAGAAGACAGCCGCATGTAACTACGACGTGTTTGCTAGTTCACCTTACATGCATTAAGTAGATACGAATTACACACGAACAACATTAAGCTACTCACGCAGAGAAGAACGGCTGCTGCTGCCATCATCATCAGTCATCATTTCTGCTACACTGGCAGGGCTAGGGGCCAGGACTCTACTCTTCCGTTTCTTGGGGGATGTTAATAACTCCAGGTCCGATAACAGGCACCACACACGGAGTAGGTACGGTGCATTTCTCGGCTTTGAAAAAAGCGGTATGCGTCGCCAGGTGTTTCATCAGATTCAAGGTGTTACCTCCTTTGCACAGTATCACCTTAAAGCACTTGTTGCAGGCTGCTGAGTTTGCATCTTTTGCTGTGAAGTACAGCCAGACTTTTGACCGCTTCGCCTTGGGCATTTTTAATCTGTAGCTCTGCTCTAAAAGAACGTACGTACCTGGGCCCGCCTACTATCCTCGGAAACGTAAAATGATTGGCTAGAATCTAAAGTGTATCACAGCTCAGGAGAAAAAAAGCACCGAAATAAAGCACCGAAATGTGCGCTGCTTTTCGGTCTGGTTACTACCGTTTATGTCAGAACCGGTGCCATCATGGCACCGGATACCGGTACCCATCCCTAGTTATGACACCACTATCCATCTCTCCCTCTATCTCTCCGGTCAAAGGGGAAGTAAACAGGCGACGAGTATTAAATGGTGAAGTTGTGCAGATTTTTGTGCTTTTTCAAAAAAAATTGAGCAGCTGTATTTTTGCCGTTCAAAATTAATAATTTCATTAAAACCAAGCATCCAAATTTTGCACCAGGGTGTGGACACTAGCATGAAAGAAAACAGTTTAGTCTGTTTTGCATTTGGGCTGATATATACACCATTTGTGAAAGAATGGGGCACTCTCAGGAGCTTGGTGTATTCCAATATGGTATCGCGATAGGGTTCCGAGTGTGCAACAAAAATGTCCTTGCTACTAAATATTACACAGTCAACTGTTAGTGGTATCATAACAAAGTGGAACCGATTAGGAATAAACCTTGTGGAAATTCTTCCTAAATGAGTTGAAGCTGTTATAGCTACAGGAGTAGGGCTGCACGATATTAGGAAAACCTGCGATGTGCAATAACTTTGATCAATATTGCGATAACGATATGACTTGCGATAAAATAAATAGCAAAAAAAAAAATGAATACATAATTTCCATTTTACTGCAACAGTTTTATTTAAAGAAAGCTGCTGTATGAGCAGTGTAACAACAAAGTGCACTTTAACATTGAAACATTACCCCCATAAAAAAAGACATCCTTCCCGGTCTCTATCATTAGTTTTAAATAAACATAACTTAAATTATACTGCAAATGATCTCAATGCAGTTGTTCATCATTTTACCACTCACCAAGTAGTTATGATGTAAGTCAAAACTGGAGAGGAAACTTTACTGTAGTGCTTGCGTAGTTTTCAGCTTGGCTTAGTTCAAACATGACGGTCTTGCAGCATGTTTCGTACATTTGTGGAATGGCGACATGGGAAATGTAGTTTCGTGAGGGGATGCGGTATCTCCGGTCCACTTTATGTATTAGACTGGTGAAGCCCTCTCTGCTAACTGTATTTATAGGCATCATGTCTTTAGCCAAAAAATGTGTAATGGCCTCTGTTATTTCTTTATACCGCTTCGACGTTTTCTCATAAGGAGTTCCATTTGAAAAATCTGATACAGAGACTGCTGTTGGATTGCTGTGCTCTTTGTCTTAACATTAGCAACCTTTGTTTGGCTAGCCCTATCTTTCTGGAACTCTTCAAACAGTTCTCTGTGGTTGTATTGAAGATGATAGTGGAGATTAGTCGTGATTCCTCTGGTGGTTGCCACAAGTGTTCAGGAAGTTTTGCAGAGTACCTGTGTTTGGAGAACGTCGTCTTTATCAAATCCAAAGTACCTCCAATTAAGCGAGGTACTATTATTATTATTATTATTATTATTATTTTATTTTATTTTATTTTTTTAAGCCACGAGTTCATAGTCAGTAGCATTCTTGTCATGTGTCTCGCTCTCAGCCATTACAACTCTGACTCGTTGCTGCAGTGTTGTTCACTCCCCACCTCTAATCCATGTGATTGGTTAATGCCGTGAAGGGCTCTATTCAACTGATCAAATGTGTAAAGGGGTTTCTTTTATTGGTAAATTCTATAAAGCACGTGTGTAAACATTTTAAGTTACCCAATTATCGCCGTTTACGCCGTCTTTTGCGATGGGCCCATCGCACAGGCTGATATCGCGATGACAATAAATTTTAGATTTATTGTGCAGGCCTATACAGGAGGCAGGCCAACATCATTTTAAACGCTATGAATTAAGAATGGGACGTTTATATACGTGTGAACTAAGCCTGGGCAATATGAGGAAAATCTAATGTCACAATATTTTTTTGATTATATCACGATACACAATATATATCACGATATGTTTAAATAACCTCCAAAAAACAAAAATTGTTTTCAACTATACAGTGCCTAAATTTGCACTGGCATGCTCATTCAATATTTATTTTTCTGCTTTGAATACAAGAAATCTGAATGAATTAAAATGTTTTATTTAAACCATGTTTTTTTAACCATCAGTTGCACGCAGAGGTTTTTGACCAATGACAATACTGTCACAGCAGGTGGTCAACACTAGACCTTTAAAAAGCAAACAAAAGATCATAACGAAAAAGGACATCGAGTAATAATAAAACAATTGAAATTGTTCTTTTGTGCTTATAATATATAAAAATAGTAAAATTAAAATGTGATGACCCCAAATTACAGAAAAAAAAGTCTAGACGGTGACTATAAAAACGATTGACAAAGAATCAGGTATCACAGCTGTTTTATTTAACATTTTCTTTGGTGTGTGGGAAGATGTTGACATGCAGAGTTTAAAACATTCTTCATTTTGCAGTGGATGACTTTTCGGCTGTTGGAATACATTTGTGCTACTGCTTCCGTTTGCGGCAATAGTTTTACGGCACATTTTAACCATTTAACACCATTTTAACAGTCTTACATTGATACCAAACGTGTATACTAAGAGGTTTGAGGGGTAGCACTGGTGGCCAACAGTATTTTTGAACATTGATGTAATTATGCAAATTATAGATAGTCTTGTGTATTATTTTATAACACTTCTAAAATACATCATTCATATGTTTGAAAAACCATTATACTATTCTAAACAAACCACATCTTTATTCATATACAGTGGGGCAAAAAAGTATTTAGTCAGCCACCGATTGTGCAAGTTCCCCCACCTAAAATGATGACAGAGGTCAGTAATTTGCACCAGAGGTACA